GTGAACAAATATTTGAATATATTCATTACATCAATTAGGTACATACAAGATTAATATTAAATGCGATCATAACTGCATAAGCCTAGACAGACTGAAGTCAAAGGAACACGCTCGACATATAATACCAAAATAGTGGAAGAAGTTCATTGTTCAGTAAGATAGAGTTGATTGTCACCTCTTGCTGAATATGATCCAAATTATCGATTTCATCCAGTGATTCATGGTCGATCAGGTGATTGTTCAGTTGTTGCAGTTCACTTGTTCGAAAATTACACCCCACGATTGAACATTCATACTTTGGATCTGAGTCATTCGAATAATTCTCAGTTGGATCGTTTGCTCCATCTTCACAAACTTCAATTTGTTTCGTTATCGATTTGGTTATGCCATCCCGATTCGATTTAATCTAAATGATGCATCAATTTTCTCAACAAACAACTATGGTTATTCGCATTTACTTTTGATACTCAGTGCGTTTAGTTTCATCGATGGTTGCTATTCACAAGTGATCGTACATTCATTATCTCACATAGCCAGCGACACCGACGCGTGATCATTTTTGGGTACACACTCAGAACAAATGATCAGTGCTAGAGCTGATGAGTAGAAACGATGAACAACACATTGCACAACCAATCAATTTACCTCGAAAACGATGTTGCCGTGCAAATTTTCGTTGGGATACAATCGACGAGCACTGCAATCTTCAGCAGCATAAGAGTTCGAACAGTGATCGAATGCCTCGGAAGTGGACGTTGTTGCAATACCATACTCTGCTGCAACTTGTTGTTCTTCATCATCCTCTGATTCTACAGTGTTCACGAAGAACATCCCACCACCCATCACTTTCCTTTTGTCTTTTGCCTGTCGCTTCGCTTTAATGTAATCTCTCCTCAACAACTGCGACCTGAAATTTGAATCTGACTCATTCGTTATAAGATACATCCAAATTCACACTTTAACTGCGCCTAAATTTGAATTATNTTTTTTCGAAAGGATTTAGTTCCGGAGTTTGTGATTGCGGTGGAGAGCAATCCTCGAACGAGTTTATCAGATACGATTCAACGCCAAATACAACAGAATATACAAACAAGTTAGTTATTACAGAGCTCGTTTGAGTTAATTGTCAATGAATTAACTCTGAACTATTACGATCGCAAACAGTTCAAAAATAAAACAAAACAAACAAAAGAATTACCGCCGTTTCAACACTTCCACTTCATCGGATAAAGGATTGTTATCAAAATTACAGATATGTGGAGGGTTTGGGTTATCCGGATCAATAATGAATCTACCATTTCGGATGACAATACCGGCTGCACGACCCAATTGAGCGGATGGATTATTGTTGCGATTCGTCTTCGACCTTAATTTGCGACACAACACACAACTGTAATGAGTTGATGCGTCACCCCTCAGCCCATCCTTTGACCACTCAGAAATTTTGCCCGCATTTGTTCGACTTCGAAAGAACACCAATGAGTAATGCCGTTTGGACAATGATGATGATGACGCACCTTGCTGCTCGTTCAGCCCACCCGATACACTGTCA